ACACAAAACCTTCACCACGATAACCAAATCATATGTCGAGGTTGCCTAGGAACTGATTTACCTGAACCCTCGTACGTCGTAAAAACATCGACACATCGAACGCACATTGCGGCCTCGAGATCAATTGTTCAATATCTATCTATCTATCTATCTATCTATCTATCTATCTATCTATCTATCTATCTCAGTCTGATCATATCTATCTCAGTCTGACATCATTCTCTCTGTGTGTCTCTATCTAAGTCTGTTCATATCTATCTATCTATCTATCTATCTATCTATCTATCTATCTATCTCAGTCTATTCATATCTATCTATCTCTCTATCTAATATGTATTGAGTTATCAAGTCCGGTCGAAGTTCAAGATATATATATATATATATATATATATATATATATATATATATTCTGCTTAACTTTCACCCTGCTGATGGAACGCTGTAAGACTTACGAGTTGGGCCATTGAACGTCATTCTATTATTTCTCGTCCATGTTCAATGTGAGACATTTCTCTTAATAGTGTCGGCCAAGGAAGTTCTTAGAACCTCATGGTGAATAGCCCGGGTATCATTTAGGCAAGCATTATCTTGCTTGAACAGCAAATGTTGTGTTCATAATTGAGAGAATTCGTAATACGTGGCTGTCTGTGTGACTATGAATGTTTATTTGACCACTTACATCATAAGCTACAATTCTTCGAAGTCCATATAAATCCTGTCGAAAACCATCAGTCGGGTCCTTTGGAAGACAATCAGTCCGATCCTTTGGAAGACCATCAGTCCGATCATTTGGAAGACCATTAATCCGATCCTTTGGAAGGCCAGATGTTCTCGGGGACGGTTGTAATTGCAAAATGGGGAATATGTGCGTCTCCGTGTCATGATTGCTGCTTTTAGGCAAAGATGGTGTCCTGTTATGAGTGTTACTACATCAAAAGATAAATGAATCATTTGTAAATTCTATCGGAAAATATACAACCACTTCTTCTTTTACCTGCCGTGTCTCTTCAGCTCTTATCAACTTCCTGTTCTTTGAAGCACTTAGTATGTTTTGTATGTTTGCTATCTCGCTTGTCCCTATTCTTCCAACTATTTATACGAACTCATTAGGTAGTTAATTGCTGTTTTCCTCTGTCCCTCTTGCCTTCAGCAAGTACTGTGAGTGTTAAATTTGTCAAGCTCTCCTTCTTCATTAATTCACCTTGAAATTTCAATTGTCTGTTTTTGTTTTTAAGTATAAGAGTCCATTTTGTTTCCATTTTTTCCAGAATTTCGTCATGATCAGACCTTCTAGAGGCACAGTGGAATAATGGATAACGGCTTGGATTAAGGAACAGGAGATCCGAGTTCGAATTCCAGTCAAATATATTCATTTACTCTTGGGAAAGGTATGAATCCCCCCCCTAGCAATGGGTAAGTAGCAGGACAGACTGGGTTCTATAGACTTGGGTGGCAACCGGTCTAGGAGAAAGTAACTCTGAATTTAAAACTGGATGTAGCCCTGGCATACACATACTATAGCGCGAAAGAAAGGATCGTTCGCATTGGGTCGATGATCACGACTAAAATCGACAAATGATAATTATTCCTGCTGCCTGAAGTCTATTCTTATCCATTTACTGTCATATAGAAAGACCAATATTACATAACAGTCTGTTCATATCTATCTATCTATCTATCTATCTATCTATCTATCTATCTATCTATCTCAGTCTGATCATATCTATCTCAGTCTGACATCTTTCTCTTTCTGTGTCTCTATCTATCTCTGTTCATATCTATCTATCTATCTATCTATCTATCTATCTATCTATCTATCTATCTATCTCAATCTGTTAATATCTATCTCAGTCTGTTCATCTCTCTCTCGCGCTCTCTGTCTCTATTTATCTATCTATCTATCTCAGTCTGTTCATATCTATCTATCTATCTATCTATCTCAGTCTGTTCATATCTATCTATCTATCTATCTATCTATCTATCTATCTATCTATCTATCTATCTTAGTCTGTTCATATCTATCTCAGTCTGACATCTTTCTCTCTCTGTGACTCTATCTAATTCTGTTCATATCTATCTATCTATCTATCTATCTATCTATCTATCTCAGTCTGTTCATATCTATCAGTCTGTTCATCTCTCTATCGCGCTTTCTGTCTCTATTTATCTATCTATCTACCTATCTCAGTCTGTTCATATCTATCTATCTATCTATGTATCTTGGGTCGATGATCACGATTACAATCGACAGATGACGATGATTTTCTAGCTGCCTCAAGTTTCTTCCTATCCATTTACTGTCATATGGAAGGACCGATATCGCATAACAGTTCAGTACTCTTGTTTTTAAATAGATTTTCCTGTTTATTCAGGCTTTCTTTTGCCATTCCCGTGCCTTTACGAATATCGGTGTCGCATTTTTCGTCCTATGTTAAAATACCTTCCAGATGTTCAGATATTTGTACTTGCTTGATTTTGACGTCTTTAATTTGTAGTTTGCATCTTGGGCTGTCCGTTTTTCTGACAACCATACATTCTGTCTTCTTACAATTGATGTCCAATCTGTTCTAATTCTCTCAGAATCGCCTCACTGTATAGGTTGAATAATCCTGGTGAGAAGACACACATACTGTACCAAAGATAAAATCGACATTATTCTCTTGGGAATTTTATTATCTGCCAATATTGATGAATGAAATATTGGTGGAATAAGACTTTCTTAATGGAGTCACAACTTCGTTGGGTTGGTCATATTGCAAGGATGAGTGATGAAAGAATACTTAAGGTCCTCATGTATAGCCAGCTTCACAGTGGACAAAAATTTGGTTTGGTTTTGTTTGTTTTACGGCATATCAACCTCAATGGTTTATTTGATGCCGACAAAAGTTTTATTGCTAGTATTTTTCTTTTAAATGTATTGCTGGTAATATTTTTTCTTTCAAAGATCTATTTTCGATAATATTTATCCTTCAAAAATGAACTGCTGCTAATATATTTTTTCAAAAAATGTATTGCTGGTAATAATCTTTTTACAAAAACGTATTGCTAGTATTAAAAACTATTTTTAATCTTTCATAGTGTTTTGACCCTTTTTGGGAGGTTAACTATTTGCCCATAGCTGGGACTCTGACAGGTGTTAATAGGCCTTGCTGTCGGATGTAGTTTATCATCTTACTCAGGGCGGAGTGGACAAAGAACCGTTGGACGGCCGTGGCTGAGGTATAAAGACAAGCTAAAGAGTAACCTCTTAGCTGTGAATCTGGTTCATACCATCTGGAGATATTTTGCCAGAGTTGTATCAAAAATTTCGAAATCAATCGTATCAACCGGCTAAAGGCAACGGCGAAAAGCGTCAACAAATATTCCTGCTACTACGTCTCAAAATCCTCGCTGTTGCACAATATGTGGATTGTATGCAGGGCACTAGCAGACTGAAGTGTCACATTCGACACAAACATAAAAACTGAATAAGTTTGTCGGATCCTCATACGTCTTAAATGGACATTAGAATTCATCATATATATATATATATATATATATATATATATATATATATATATATATATATATATATATATATAGATATAAAGATATAGATTCTGAATCTACAGCGGATCTGATTTTCGTAAATATATCAAACTGTGCAGTATATATATTATATCATAAAGAAGTAATTATAAAAATAATTAATTAGCAATTTTAACGTGGTTAATGGTGAAATCACTTTGCTAACAAGACTTAATAAGGCATTAACTTACCATCAATTCCTTGAATAACACGATCCTTATATTTGAATTGTTCTCAGATGGGATTGATGATCCTGGTCCGAGTACTTTCGACAATTTCAAATCGTCATCTTCAGAGCGAAATATATCCATTTACAGGTAAACAACGAGACGAAATAACTGTAGTGCAGACCGAGAAATGTTTTTAAAAATATGCTGCTTATAGACAGTTATATTATTTTGGAACGTCCGATGCCACAACGCTAGATTTCTTGTTTAAATGATTAAAGTGAGAAATTTGTTTGAATTTAGTAATGTGATGATGACAGTTTGAAAATATCGAAAGTATATACATATATATATATATATATATATATATATATTAACAAGAGGAGAAGAGAGGTGCCGCAAACTTTTTGGGTTGTAATGTGTTTTTTTTTTTAGAAAAAAATATAATGTTTTATTTTCCATAATTTTACTACACGTGTTTCTGGTCTCGTGACCGTCTTCAGGTAAAAGCGGAGATTTCCACATATTATTAAAAATAATTAATTTTTTCCTTATGTTTTTCAATGTTAAATATTCTCGATATGAGACATTCTCTGTTTTTCTGTTAGTAATCCGAATGTCTTTCTTGAATTGGCAAAGAAGAGTTCTGCGCGAAGGGTCATAAAACAATTAAGGTTGGTCCAGCGAAATGATGAATTAGTTATCGGCATTTTATCTTTTAATGTTTTACTGACCCCTATGTGTTCTTGGATCTGTTTCCATTTTGGTGCGATTCTGTCAGTATGCGTGTATATGTGCGTGCGTATATTTCCCCTCCATACATATACTAACTTAATATGAGGAATTAGTAAACTCATTTGTACACATACACACATACATACACATATGCACATACACACCGTCCCAATCAGTACATACACGCAAATACATACACACACACATACACACACACATACTTCTCAAGCTACGTGGAACCAGTATACACATACACACACACATACACACACATACGTACATACATACACACGTACTTCCTAAGTTGTGGGGGTTTGTGTGCGTGCTCGTGAGTAGTTCCCTGTTTTGTCAACATGCGTATATATATATATATATATATATATATATATATATATATATCTTCGTGTATATATATATATATATATATATATATATATATATATATATATATATAAAAAAAAGGCATTCTTAAGATAAGTAAACATATTTATTCATTTATTATTAATATCCGGTCTGTCGATATCAAGGCTTACGGCGAAATGACGTTGAAACATCCGTTTCCCAAAGGATCACCAAAGTTAAGCAACGTCGAGTCTGATCAGTACCTAGATGGGTGATTGCTTGGGAATACCAAGTGCTGGAAGCGTGGATGTGCAGGTGGTGTAATGGATTATGCCTCTGAATTGTTAATCGGAGATAAGTCTTCCAATTCCATTTGTGTTCGTTATATTCGCATACGCGCAAATATCCCTGGGAAAGGCAATCTTTTCTTCGTAAGACTTGTATCACGAAGTTATTATCATTTTAAAGAAATAAAATCTTACAATTTAAAAATATTTTCTAGTTTTAAATAACCTGAAAAGGGTTGATAAGACGTCAATGATGAGTCAATCAATCAATTTTGATATCAATTACAGTAATTACAAAATAATTTGCCTTAAAAACATTGTTTTCTCGAATTACTCTAGTCAAATATTTTTCGTGAAATGTCCATAATGCGAATATCTTGGTCAAAGGCTTCATTTTCAACTCAACCTCAGTGTTTCTTAATTATAATGTTGCCATAGTAACGAATTGTTCTATAGATTTTTTTTCGGTTGTTCCCAGAATAGTTGGACAGTGCGAAACGCTGACAAAATAATAAAAAAGTATCTATCTATCTATCTATCTATCTATCTATCTATCTATCTATCTATCTATCTATCTATCTATTTCAGTCTGTTCATATCTATCTATCTATCTATCTATCTATCTATCTATCTTAGTCTGTTCTCATCTATCTATCTATCTATCTATCTATCTATCTATCTATCTATCTTAGTCTGTTATCATCTATCTATCTATCTATCTATATGTATGCATGCATATCTCTCTCCCACTATCTATATATAATGAAATAACTCATATGAAATATCCGAACAAAGTATATGAATGGTAATTTATGAAAACTTGATGGTTGCTTCATTCGTTTTTTTTATTATTATTAAAAAAAAGCCTGTAGAAAGAATTTAGAGTACATCCTCCCTCAGAAACCGTAAACATCTTTGAGGAAGCAATGAATCCACCTCTTCCCCTCAAGCTCTGGGTAAATAACAGGAAAGAATATTCTATCGCCTTAGGTGGCAACCGGTCTAGGCGAAAGGGGAATTCTGAATTCTGAAAACCTTTGTCGGCAACCAAACCGGATCCGGTAAATGGAAGCCCAGCAGCACAAATATCAAGGACGGTGAACTCCTCAGAGTCATCAGCCATCCACCCCAACTATGGGTTAAATAACCTCAATTGGCCAAGTATGGTGAATACGACTACACCCATGAAGACATGGGCAATCAAGGGAAGGGTTCCTCTAACAAAAATGAGAGTCCCTCCAATCTGGATTTGGATTTAGATATATATGTAAATATTGCCATTGAAATTTATTTAAAACTCTATGTACATTTGACCTGATTCACTATGTATTTGTCTGTTTTCCGACTGGGTGTACGTGTATTTTTGTGTAAATTCTATTATAGGGCAGAAGGTCTACATAATCTACGATTTAGGTCATTTCAATAAGTTCAATGACAATGACAGACGAGGTTACACACTCTCTCACTCTCTCTGTATATATATATATATATATATATATATATATATATATATATATATATAAGCATGCATAGAGATAGTCAGATCTTTTCCAAAGTTACGACGCAATTTGGCAGTGGAGACAAAATACACATTCATTCCTTTCACCTTTACATAAAGGTTATATCTCAAGAGATCTTTATTTATGTTTCAATTTTTAACTTTACAGCAAATGGACATAATTCGTTCATGATACAATAAGTACTTTCTTTTGACTGTATCCTTTTCGTGTAAAACTGAAGATGGAGCAGACAGCAGTTGAACCAGTGACAATGATTGATGATTACTGGTTATATAACCAGCCAGTGTTCAGCTGAACAGGTTTTCAACTAAACGAGTTTACGCCCTAAACGTTATTTATATGAATATGTTGTATGACTTGCCTCGAGGCTAAAGTAGTTGTCTATTTCGCACTTTTCCCAGAGGATCGACATTCAAGTATCGTAAAAGATATTCATAATGTTGATTTGTCGATGAATACAAGCCTTGCCCACACGGAAGTATGAGGTGACCCAAACTTCCTCAACTATTTCTCCTCCAAATCTGACATCGTGCCAGATTCAGTCAAACTCGGTAAATATTAAGGAAAATTCAAAAATGATTACACGTATATTTCCTGTTTAAAGATTACAATTCTTAAACGTTCTTCACCAGCTCTTAATTGCTGGTCTTCCCAGGTTCACCCTGGCCCGGGGTGGTAGCACCTGTTAGGGGTCCCAGCTATGGGCAAATAGTTAACTATACTTTTTTGAAAAAATTATTACCAGCAATAAAATTTTGAAGGAAATATATTACCAGAAACAGATTTTTGACAAAACAAAATATTACCAGCAATAAAAAATTTTGTCAGCATTGAGTGGCCCATTGAGGTTGATATGCAATAAAACAAAATAAACCAAACCAATCTAAACCAAAAAATACATATTCTATTCATACGAATCTATCCTAAAAATGTTGTCGGCATTAAATAACCCATTGGGGTTGATATGCCGTAAAACAAAATAAACCCAACCAAACCAAACTTAAATGTTCTTCTGTCATTTGATGGCGAGTAAAAGCTGTCAACTTTTATTGGGATGTCATTTTAGTAGTATTCATATTTATAGAGGCGTTATCTATATCACAAGAATGTCATCAACAAAATGATATGGAACAAAAGCAAATACTAGACAAGTTGGAATGTCATGAAATATTTATTTCATATTATAGCATAAAAAGAATAAAATACGAGGTATGAAAAAAAGTAGGTCTTTCGTTACCAACATATTCCGAGTCCAATATGTCTTCTTACTGACTGGTTGGAAGGGAGTGCTTCCTGTTTGGGACTGTGACCCTACGCATAGTCGAAGGAAAAGAGTAAGGAGATATTTTTATTTTAACGCAGGACTTTTTAAAAAATAATTTCACCCAAAACAAGGCAATAAATTCTCTAAGACGCAAGGTGATACTGAGAGTAAAAAATGCGAAAAAAGAAAGACATGAAGACAGAAGATAACGATTAAGATTGAATTCAAAGTTTTGAAGATCAAATTCGACTGGAAATCAAGAGGTCGGAAAAGAGTTCTACAAGCGATAAGTGCGAGAGAAGAAACTGTTGTTATAGAACTTACGGTTTTATCTCGCCATTTCAACTGTAACATGATGACACCTTGACATCAATCATGTACAGCGCGTAAAATCATAACGTCTAGGTACTATAGAGGAAAGCTCATCAGAACCATTATCTTTAAAGTATTTATAGAAAAGACACATGGAAGCTACGTTAAGTGACTAGAGCCGAGATGCTAGGTTAGGACTAATGATATTGTAGATTCTTCTTTGGATTTCACCGAGAATTTCTAAATATATAGCAGGATCACCAGATCAAATATGGCGACAATATTCAAAGCAATTAATACTAAGACAGATTTTGGCGAGAATTGGGTTCGACGATTAGTCCGATTAAGACTGTCGTAATGTAGCAATTCGCTCCAGATAAATCCTATTCTGATTAAAACATCAAGCATGTGGCCATAATTCTGGAAATGTTGGCTTGCTTTTTGTATTTATTTTATTTAAAAAAGTTAAAATTGCCCCGCAAAGCAGTATTTCTGGAGAAGAAGCTTTCCAAATGGAACTTCCTCCTTACCAATGGAATACGAAGGAAAGGAGGATTGTTCGCCCCCTGTGTCCATGGCATGACAGGTCATAGTTGTAAAGGTCTGAATTGGTGAAACTAGGAAATGTGGCTCGTCAGAACACTTGCCATGGAAATAACTGCCAATCTAATCTCCTTCCTGTATGTGACGTGGCTCGTCAGGACATTAGTATCATGGCTCTCCATAACCTCCTGTCCTTTGTAGCTCTTAGTCAATTTTGTCTTTTTGCCACTCTCCTAATCTCTCTTCTTCATTCCATTTACAAAAGCTCTCTGGGTAGGTGATGTTTTTCTTCTGTCCCTATAATATTCAATTGTCTTTTACTGATATTCTGAATAAGCATTTTTTTAGTTCCATTTTTTCAAAAAATTTCGACGGTGATCATCTGCGAAGAGATTGTCCACTTTCTGTCTTCTGCTGATACATTTCTATGTGCCGTGTCCCTTATGGACGTTGGCGATCATGGCTCCGTAGGACTAAAACTGGCTGGTTACAATGAAAAGCCCCGAAAACCAAAGTATATTCCGTCATTGCCGATCGGACACTGACCTATCACCAATCACGATGAATAGATGTTCTCTCAGATTGGCCCCCCCTCGAAATCGTGCATATGATCGATCGCTAAAGATGCTGGAAAAATGGTCGGTTCCCTGTACCGCTCCAGCAAGTATCCGACTCCTAGATCTATTCTCTACCGTGACAAGAGCCAGATCAGGTTGAAAGTGGGGTACTGTTGCTATATATGGACAGGAGATACACAGTCTACCCACTTCAGTCTCGATAGAGTCTCAAAATTCACCGTCATTATTTTTCACCCTACAACCACTTTCTCACAGCCGAAACCTCGCACTGATTACATGGAAAGTGCTCAGACGAACTACATTCCTTCGTTCCACCAGTTCTAACCTTTACAGCTAATACTCGACATGCTACGCACAATGTAGCGACCAACTCTCATTTCCTCCGTATTCCATTGGTGAGATGCTTCTTTCTACACAGCGTTGTTTCGTGAAACCGACTCCCAAGAGAATGCTTTCCCGATCACTACAATCTTAATTTGTTCATGTCTAGGTTTGACAGATGTACACATAAACATTGCGTCTTACTTTTTAACATTCTACCTCGAGAGACTCTCTGGCCTTTTACAGGGTGACAATCACTGTTATATATATATATATATATATATATATATATATATATATATATATATATATATCTCTCTCTCTCTCTCTCACACACACACTCTCACACACACATACATACACACTGTTGTGGCATACCTACGGATGGTAAATGGTACGTCCCCATTCACATAAATACAGTAGTAAATACTGCATGTGGGTCTGCAGTTGGAGATTTTCCAGCTGTGCTAGTCAAT